TTTTTTTTTTCATTTTATTTCGTCTTTGCATAGATATGAAATGAGATTTTGATTTTTTTTTATTCAAATTATACTGGAATAATTGTTAAAAAGGCCATTTTACATATGAAGTATTGAAAATATTTAAATTGTAGAATCTGCATATGTCTATTTATTTGTGGTGGAATTTTCTTACCCCAAATCTCACTTTATTTAAGTCAAAAGATGTGATTGAGTGCAGGAAATTGTAGATTCTCTGATGTGTTTATTTGTGGTGGAATTTTATAACCAAAATCGCATACTTTATGTAAGTCAAAAGATGTCATTGAGATGTAGGCCATATGATATATATGGCGAAACATATTGCAGACAACTAACAAATGTTGTTACTTTGAAACACGAGTATTGTTTATCGAAATTCATCATTCATCAACTTGAGTACGTTAACATGTATTCACCCATCACGCATAGAAATTTTGAGTGTAATTAAGTCTAGTTGAGCTCGAGTTCTCGGTTCGTTATGTAGACGAGCTAAAGTTCGAGCTCGAGCCGAGTTCGAACTGACGAGCATTAACGAATCGAACTATACAAAATCTATAAAGTTTTCTTTTTGCGTCTTATCGAGCAGAGTCAAGTCCGACTCATTAACAAAATAAGCTTTAAACAAGCTCGACCTCGACTAATTTAACAAACGAGCTGAATCGAGTCGAACTGATGAGCAGCTCGTTTTATTTAACATTCCTAAAATCAAACGTCAAAATTCATAAGATTTTAACCCCATACTCGTGAATGATATGATAATATCGGGTTATATCAGCCCCCTCTCTCTCTCTCTCTCTATCTCTCATCATTTTTATTTTTTCTTTTCGATACACTTCCCTTTAATTGGGATTTTTTTTTTTTTTTTTTTAATTTGAATCAATTATAACAAAAGTTGATATTACTTTTTAATTTTTATAAAGTTGATCTTTGTTCATTTGAAAAATAGCGTAATTTAATTTACCTTGCTCATTTTAAAAAGCTTGTCTTTCTTTATTTAAAAAATAATAATCGTAATTTTATTTTCAAATAACTTAATAATGTAGCATCCAATTTGCAAATAACATAATAATGCAGCATATATTTATCTCAAAATTCTTTTATTATAAATCCCTTTATGATTGTCTGAATCTCTCTCAATCGAGATATAGTCACAGAAGAACATTCCAATAATTTCATAGCTGCATCTGATTGAGGTCATTTTACTTCTCTAAGGTATATCAAATCTTTGACATTACCAGACATTTAATTATGAAGTTATAAACACAGAGATTACAAAAAACTAATATCGGTTTAGCCTGATTAGACACACTCAAGTCATCTTCTAAAATACAAATCACCTCATTAATTCATGGCAAAAATATGTCACACGGGTAGCTGCAAATTTCGATAGGGGTAGTTTTGTAAATATCCCTACCGACAGATCGAAAAATTGTTTCCTTTCCCATGATCGGTATTGTTCACGATGGACAATTGAAAGCAAATTAGTTTCGTGCTCCATATCAATGTCGACTTGGTTAACTAACTCTCCACAATAATAAGATAAATATCCAAACTCAGGTAAATAGTCATAAATTTTGTTTGTTGATCTTCGGACATGACTGTTGTGTTGTTGTTTGCAAGGGTTCTGAAGAAACCTTACCTTCGGCAGTTTCTTTCAGTTTAGGTCTTATAAGGGGCCTTCTTAGGAACTTGAGTGGCCACCTTTTAGGCTTTATCAGTCCTAACAATTTCATTTGTTCTCTTCTGAACTTACGGTTTGCATACCAGGCCCCGCCTCGCCAACCCAAGACATACCTGCATTTTTTCATGAGAAAAATTCGAAAATAAATTAAGGTTGTAACCTGAGTGTCCTGCTTCTTGTGCAATTTCAATGCATGAAAGAGTGATGAGACATCAAAATGAGTAAATGACATTAACAATTATGGGAAGTTCTGACTGAATCATGGTTTTCCACAAGTACATGCAGATCTTAAGTTTTTCTTTTTTTTTTCCTTCTTTCTTTCAAGTTTCAATTGTTTCACCAGGAAACACAAAAACGGAATTACAGACAAAAAGGATAATAATAGTGTTGCCGCAATAATATATAATTACAAGGGTAAGGTCTGCGTACAACTGACCCCCCAGACCCCAACCGGTTGGGAATATACTGGGTATGTTGATGTTGATGATGATGATGTTGATGTAATAGTGTTGCCGCAATAATATATAACAATTTTTCCAGTAGCACGAGATTCTCAATTTTGTCCACATTATATCAACAGCTCTATAGATCATGTATACAGAGGTACTTGTGAAAGTTAATCGCTCAAGACTAGAGTTACTTCACAGAAGAACATGACTTTACCGGAATATATACAAAATATTGATGATACAATTTAATTATCACAAATACAGATGGACTATATTACTACAAATTATCATTATTGTTTTCCTGTTTCCTTTATTCCTTTTTCACACAGCCTATTAGACCTTTGTATCCTTTAAGTCCTTCTGGAGAGTAGAAATCAGTTATGAACATAATCCTGTCACTTCAAATGATCAATAATTAACAGCCCTCATTAAGATTTAGAAGTATATTAAAACAAAACATAGCAAGAATCAAATATGTGATTAACTAACTAACCCAATAATCAAACTGGTTCCGGCAGTCGCGACACAACTTGGAAAACTCACAGTTCCCGAAACAAGTTTCTTAATCTCAGGATCTTCCAAGCGATAACTGCCTTTCATCTGCCAAAAACAAAAATTCAGAATCTCACGTTGCATTAGAATGTTAGCATGTGATTACTGCCTTGCATACGAATTTCGAAAAAAATACTTACGGTCTTTTCAATTGCTTCAAGCTTTTGCTCCACTCTTGACTCGTGCAAGTGACGTAAAGTATAACCTGCAGAGGCAACAACATATACTGTCACATGAGTAATCAGTAAGTTGCAAGATAATAGTTGATCATGGGTAATTATTACATTTAATCAATGACATTTCGAAAGGCAAAAATTCTATGGCCTTTGAAGATATAGTATAACAACTAAGTTTCCAATCACTTCCGAATAAAAATTCTATGCTATCAAGATGAAACCTTATACAGTGAAGCTTATGAAATTACCATGTATGATATTCAATTAGACAATGTACAGTAGTTTAGTTACTCTGCTTCATTCCATCTTAAAATCCCACTACTTGTACCTTGGATATAGAAAGCAAGTGAACATACCCTTGATCTCATTGTGACTTGAACTAGAGAAAGAAGGACATGCATAGTTCATAAGTAAATCTAAATATATACTCAGAGCAAAGAAAAATAATAGTTACTCGAAAATGGAGGCTGAAGATCATTTGTGGTTCAATGATTTAAAAGTTCATAAAATCATACAACAACCCTTTCCCTGCTTGTTTTCTATTTCTCAAACATGGATTTTTTTCCCCCATAACTGAACGGAAAATTGCGGGGTCACATCAGTCGATAAATTTCCTATGTACTAAAATGTGTAAGTAGCTCAAGCTCTGCACAAGTTTATCCTATCACACACTCAAATATACACATCCTAACAAATTCTTCATCACTATATTGAAGAATTATTTATCCCCCATCATAATTTGATTTCAGCAGTTCAGTTCCAAGCACATGACCCCATAATTCGAACAAAATAAAACGGGCACGGTATAAAGATCGAGTTCTTCCCTGTAAACACGATCAAATCACGCAATGCATATGCCAGATGGAAGAATAAGGGAAATAAAAAAAAAATAAAAATAAAACACATACCAGCCCATGCTGTAGCAATTGATGCAATAGAAGTTGATATGGTAAACACCACTTCATGCCTCTCAAAAATCTCCTGCAAAACCCCCAAAACACACATATACACACACAAACGGCCAAAGACGAACACAATCACTGAACACATACATTAAAAATGGAAACAAATATCGACTACAGCTCAAAAAAGAGAAATCAATGAAAAATCAACGATTATTTGTAAATTACCTTGGTGGAAAAAAACGTGTCTTGAATAGCAGCAATTGAATTCGAAGCTCTTCTTCTCAGCTGGGCCTTCGATAGATTGTTCCATATCAACGAGCCAGAAGCCCTTAAACGAGGTACGCCTCTGTACATACCTCACCGCCCAAATTCCCTCTCTCAATCCTATATCTTTTCACTTGCTCTGTTCAAGCTTCAGATATTGATCAATTTTGCAGCAAGAGTTTTTAGTGCTTTGGGGTTTAGAGACGACGACAAGACTTGGGGCGGAGGTACTATATATTTGTGTATTTCAAATTTTAACCCAGAATCAAATTCTATAATTTCATATTGACCCCGCTGTATTTGGACGGTAAATTATTGTCATTTGATAATTCTTTTTTATATATATTTTGTTGGATCTTGTAATCGATACTAGTATGATATTCGTGTATTGCGGGTGATATAACATATATAGTAGCTCGGTTGGTTGGACTCTTGTTGGCTTGGTTTATTGGGCTCCAGTAGCTTGGTTTAATTGGGTGAGGGTAGCTCGGTTGGTTTAACCCACATCAGCTCGAGTGATTGTTTCACACCAGACTCTCTCATTAGCTCAGACGGGATTTAGTTCAAGTAGCTTGCTCAAAGTGATTGTGGTTGAGTCAGAATACAACCATACTATTAGCAGGTAGGTCGTAGGACATTCATTATAAAGAACATTCAAGAGACTCGCAGACCACGAGATAAGGGGACATGACCACATTTTGAATTGATAATGTGACATCACTGTTAGGTTCACATAATGGAATTATTTTTCTAGATTCATTTTTCTTCGAGTCCTCGTAGTTTATTATCGATTAATAATATTGAGAATTTTTCGTAGTAGATGGCGAAACTGTTGCGCCGCGTTGACTGAAAAGGGGACGGGTGCAACAGCTACATGGACCCTTCCTTTCTATTGTTGCTAGCGCTTTATCAGTCCGAGTCGAAATCTTGTAAAGGGAGGGCAAAGTCCGAAGGCTATTATTCCAATAGGCCAAGTGATGGAGATGAGACCGCCTTAGCCTTTCTCGACAAGTTTGACCGGCTCAAGATCTAGTCCTTACTTTTATTATTATGCATATCTATTCCTTTTTCAGCTTTCTTATCATTTTTAGGAAATAAATAAATTACCTTGCAAGATGTATAGCAAGGTTAGGACTCTTTTATTATTTAAGGATGAGGAACTAAGGATGTAAGCCAGTTTATTTCGACGATATTCTTATTTACAGCCGGTCCTTGGAGGAGCATTTACGGCATGTGCGCGAGGTACTAGTTGTTTTACGTGCTGAATCTTTTTTTGCTGCTCCTCGTAAGTGCATCTTCTTGGCTAGTTCTGTCTTATTTTTGGGGTTTGTAATTTCGGCGGACGGTATTCGTGTGGACGACAGTAAGATAGCTGCTATTCGGGACTGGCCGACTCCGACTTCTTTTACCGAGGCCCGTAGTTTTCACGGGCTGGCATCGTTCTACCGCCGTTTTATTTTTAATTTCAGCACTATTACAGCCCCGATTACGGATTGCCTTCATGGGCCGTCCTTTGTTTGGACTCCGGCCGCCGAGGAGGCTTTCGCGGTGATCAAGCGTAAGTTGACTTCGGCTCCCGTGCTCGTACTTCCTGATTTTACTCGACCGTTTGAGTTATCTTGTGACGCGTCGAAGGTCGGCATTGGTGCTGTGCTCAGCCAGGAGGGTCGACCCGTGTCTTTCTTCAGTGAGAAGCTTTCTGGGCCACGCACTCGTTACAGTACTTATGACCTGGAGTTCTATGCCATTGTTCAGGCTGTCCGCCATTGGCGTCACTATCTCTTTCATCGTGAATTTGTTCTCTACACGGACCACGAGGCTTTGCGACATTTGGCCTCTCAGGATAATATTTCTTCGCGACATGCCTCCTGGATTGCTTTTCTGCAGCAATTCACGTTTGTCCTTCGGCATCGTTCCGGTGCTTCGAATAGGGTGGCTGATGCCT